CAAAAACCAACATTCCAAATTCCAATTTGACCAGGAACCAGGTACACAAAGAACCACTTGGTGAATGCGGTACCTCTAAATCTTTATTTATTTACGTTTTATTTAAATATTTATTTCACTTATGAGTACATTCGTCTTCTGACATTGAGCATTCAACTAATATTTACGGTTAAGGATAGATAAAAAATACCTTATCACACTGTGTAAAATCTGAAAATTCTTGGTTGCATGTACCTGTGTGTGCCTTATTATCAAGCATTAATTTAACAGACAACAAATTTATATCGTATTGATATCAAGTGTACATGTATATACTGTACTTACACAGGACGAGCAGGTTCTTCTTGTTTTTCTACCTCTACAGTTTCCTGGATAGTAGAACAACATTATAAGTTACAATGTCAAAAAGGCAACAAAATTGTTAGAGAACATTTTTTTGGCAGAAACTATGAAGGTTATCCTGAGCAACCAAGATACAAGGTCCATATAGTCTGCTCCAGTAGCCAATCAGAAGACAGAATTTGCTTGTCAAGACAGCCATATAAATAATAATATTATTTTGACCAAGTGTGAGGTCAAGATACATGTAACTGGATATTGGCATTGTAGCAGCTCTAGTCAAGGACTAAAATTTTTCGTTGTCACATTTTCCTGGCATGATGACAATTTTTCTTCTTGAAACAACTCACCTCGGTTGCCTTATTTTCTTTGGCTTCTTCTTCAGAGTCCTCTGTGACCAAATGTTCTGACACATCCTCTACATCATCAACATCATCTAAGTCATCAGCATCATTGTCCAGTTCATCTTCTACATCATGATCATCAGTGATCTCTTCATTCTCATCTTGACTTACAACCACACCTAACCATTGAAAAGATAAAAAGAGGAACTGACAAATACATTTATTTTATTTTATATACAGCTGCCTTGTTTAACAGAAACATAGTGACATAGCAATCCCCCTATCATGAGATTGATCCTAGTTAAAAGTCTTGCCAAACAATGTATTTTCTTTTTTTTTCTGGCCCTTTTATAGTACCTGATTGAGCTACATCTTATTCAGAAATAAAAAAAGCACTACTCTTGGCAATCCAGCAGTTTAAGAATAGCAATCGTCTCACCTTGCTCGGAAAGGCATTTCTCTAATCTTGCCAGTAGATCACTTTTATTGCCTTTTATAGGAAGGCCACGGTCTGCAAGCTCTTTCTTTAACTCAGCTACCTTTAAACACCACAAAAAATTTTATGCATTACTTATTTTATTGGGAGGTCGCTTAACTGAAAACATCTCTTCATACCCTGAAAATCGTTCAAGTACATAAGAGATCTTGACAGGATTTTCACTTTTATACTCGCTTGAACCCGTCCTTCATCAGAAAAATAGTTGTTAAAATCACCGAAGGATCCGTAAAACTCATTTTGCGTACAGCAAACAAACATTGCTTTGTTGTTTATCGTCGACTAAAATTTCACAACAGCTTTCCTTGAATCGCACTGTTACCTGCAACCGATCATTCAGATTGACCGCTATCTTCGCCTATATTTAAAATATTACCTACTAAGCATTCTCTCCTGCGGGATCAACCAATATTAGCGAAAGATGGGTGAAAATACCTTCAATTTCTTGAGGTTTACAGTTGTCACCGCCGCGTCCGCCATCTTGCCTTGCTTCGTAGTGCGCACGTGTCGTACACTCTACTAGCATCATGGGATGCTCTCCTCGGGCGCATTACCGCTGAATATGGCGGATTGTAAACACGTTTCTTCGTGAGCGTTGCTCTTCGTTTTGACCTGAAATTTGCGTTTTCAAAATGCGGAGAGGACCTGGTGGTGTTGGTGCAATAAATAGGCAGCGTCTTGCTAAAGTAAGCACAGATTTTTTACACACATGCTTTTCATGTAAGCGCCTTGAGTAATATCTCTATCTCCCCACGGCTCTCTCCAGTGTCTGTTTTGTAGCTTTTTCGGAATCCTTTAGTTATATATTGTCTACCTGAGCAACTGTAACTGCATTTGGACCGTAGCCAAACCGGGCCATCCTATTTTTAAATAATATTATCACATGTAAGCTTACATACTAGTTCTGTACTTCCTCAAAGAAAATTGTTCCCAGAGCTGGGGCAAGGGGGTTGGGGGATGAATGTAAAATGACCGGGTGGCCTAAATTCTCACAGAGGGGGACATTTGGGGTTACCCAATACTGCAATACTGTAGGAAAAATTGGAAATTCCCAAATACGGTGTCGAAACTCGACTAAATATGGGTACTGCGTTTATAATCAGTCGTGCTTGCATCTATCCGGTGTAATGACCTTGCCAACACCTTGAGTAACCTCAGCTATTGCGAGAAAACATGCGAAGATCACAAAGCTTGGTCATTAGATGCAACAACAATCACATAATTTGTAGACTAACTGCCAGGAAAAAAAGCATTTTATTTCAGTGTCAATGTATTTAGCAGGAGGCCGGACTGCCATTTAATGTGGTCATCCGAGCCACAAAAGATCTAGCCATTTACGGGGCAAAGGAAGAACCTTCATTTCTCAGTTATTTAAAGACCCTGAGTACTGGTTTGGCCCCAGGAATTGAACCCCAACCTCCCGTTCTGTAGTCAAGCACTCTACTGACTGAGCTAATCCTGCTGAAAATGTGTAATCATTTAAACCATGCCTACTGTGTTTTGTGTTGTAATTGTATTGACCTTTATTAGACAGGAGAGCGCAAGTGAATGGTACGGCAATACCGTGAAGGATCTTCTTTTATCAAAATACTGTCATCCAAAGTGATGAAAACCGCACCCCACAGGGCTGGATAATTCTGCAATACCACACGTTAAAATTTTAATAACAACAGAAATACGGCTTAAAAAAATATATCAGTACCACAATACTGTAAACTCCAATGTCCTCCTCCACAGAGAGTCCAGCCCATCACTAAAGAGCAATTTTCGCCTAATGTAAAAATATATTCCTTTTTAGTACTTCTTTATATTTTCTATCTTCCCCCTCAGGAAAAGTATGCCACAAAGGGAACAGAGATTGCAGACATCCAGCTGTCACAGGTAATTTCAGGGTACTAATAAGGCCATAGACTCCATGCAATAGTTACTTAACCATTGTTAAATTTCTTGATATATTGCTTGAATGTATTTTTAAGGCACAAAATGTAAGCCTGTTTGACTCAACTAGATACACCGTGCTGTCAAGTATCTTGCAGCTTTGATGTATTACTGCATGCTAACCTGCAAGCAGGCTCACTTGACGTGCGAATTCAAGGAAACTTTTGGTGGCAGGGCCGTCATCCAGCGAGGAAAAGTGAGCCTACACGTGGGCTGTTGATATTTAAGTTTCTTCCCTTTCGAGGTGTCAAGATACTATACAACAGGAGCAAAGCAAATGTAAATAAGAATTAGAGGAAGCTGCAAGAGGAAATGTGATGCAAAACTGCATCAGAGGTCAAATCCTGTCAGAAACAAAAACCACAGAAATAGAGATCTATGAAAAAGACCACTTTCATCTTGACAAGCAGCAAAAATAACATTTGCTGATTTAAAATTAAGAATCCTTCCATAGTATTATCTACCTGTAAGAAACAGCCTGCTTTTTAACATGAGTTTGCATGAAGAAAGACCACCTTCATGACCTCACACTGTGAGACAAGTGATGAAAAGAGGCTACTGAATAGTTGCTTGATCCAAATTATTAAAGAAATATCCTCCATAGCAAAATAAGGTACCCCTTAGAAAGAAAACTATAAATTTTCATATGGGGCAAAAGTTAAGGGCAGGCCAACCGACACTTTGTATGTCCATTCACTTTGTGGATGTTTATAACCAGTGTCCTTGGTTTTTTGTCATAATTATGTAGCCTTTCAAAGCATGTCACTTTTAACTTATAAATTGTTATTATTAGATTGCTACATTCATCAACAAACACAGAGCATTAAAAAGTCAATAGCCCACATGCAGGCTCACTTTTCGTCACTGGGTGGTGGCTCCACCACCAAAATTTTCCCTAAATTCGCACAAGTGAGCCTGCTTGAAAGCTAACTGCATGCATGCTCCTCCTCTGCTTCTGTTAACTTTTCAGATGGGTAAACAGCTGGAGTCCTTCAAGACATCTCTGGAAGATTTTGCTGGGAAATACAAACAGGACATAAGGAAGAATCCAGAGTTCAGAGGGCACTTTCAGCAAATGTGTGCTCGCATTGGTGTTGACCCTCTTGCTTGTAAGTCATTTTTTTTGTAGGCTATAGTTTACACCATACTAGTTTCGTGCAAGCCCAGAAATAGTTCCAGTATGGTATGAATAGCCACGACCATCTTAGCTCTGGGGACCTTTTGTTTCACATAGATCCAATTCACCTACTTCCACCTAACAGTCATTCCAGCCTTTGTTTCAAAGCGAAGCACACAGCCATTGATGTGAAAATGATTTTTAATTCTCATGCAAATGAATCTTGTATTGAAAGTGAGAGTTTTTAGATCTTTAAACTCTTCTGCTCATGATTTATACTTACATGTACCGGTACTAACAACACCAAAAATTCCTGTTCTTCAGTCAGTGAAGCTTTATTTCTGATACAAAGTTTTATTAATATGTTATAGCAAGCAAAGGTTTTTGGGCAGAGCTGCTTGGTGTGGGAGATTTTTACTATGAGGTAAGTTAAGCAGAAGTAGGTCACAACAGTTTTACAATAACGAGCTGTCATTTGTTGATCACTAAGAGACATGATAAGATTTTGATTTTACTAACAGAAATAAAAAAGAACAGACTTTATGTTCTTCACTTAATTTCACTTTCATGATTCCTTTTTTTCTATCTTCTATCTTTTATAAAAAAAATAATGTCATAACGTAGAAAAATCAAACCCAAGGAGTTAGTTTTTAAAAATGGTTTAAGGAAAGCTGTGGGGAGCAGATCAGATGAGAGAGATACACGTAATGTTTCTTGTGGATTATTATTTACAAATGTATTTTATTACATTGCATTGGGCTGTCAGTATTTGTCACTGCTAGTAATAGCTATAATTATGTCAATGTTATAACCTAAATTAAAGCTGCATTTAATAATTCAAAATCAACATTTTCCATGTTTTCTGTATATTTCATAGTTGGGTGTTCAGATTGTTGAAATCTGCATGGCAACAAGACCAAGAAATGGAGGTTTGTTTTGAAACTAATGAACAATTTATTCACAAAAAAACCCTTAAATTTGTTACTTACTCTGTAAGAAAGTGCTTTCATAGCTAAAACAAATAAGCACCTAATGACTGGGCCCAATAGAGATAAATAGAAAAAGAGTGTTTCGTTTTCCTTTAACCCCCAATGCCCCCTTGGCAAGGATGTTGAGAAAACAAAATGCACAGATTCCCTTGGGCCAGTCATTTACCTTCCACCCAAGTCATTTGGTTGATGTGACTCAGGCACATAGACTTCCCACAGTTTCAAAGTACATGACCTGATCTTGGCAAGTGAGTTTTGTTCACTCTAGGGAGCTTTGAAAACTTGTTCCATAGCATGTGATCCAGTTGGAAAACATAGTGGAGTTTATGGGTTATTGAGTGGGTTGAGGGGCTTTGGGGCCTGTATAAGAAACCACACAAAATGTTCCTCTTTTATTCTTTGCATAAAAGTGGAAACTGCACGGAATACCAAGTCCAGATGGCCACCTTTAGGTTTGTCGAAAAAAGGAAATAAAATGCTAAAATAATGGGAAAAAGCAAACTATGAAAGATTATGGAAGCTGAAAAACTGACCTCAAAAATGACCAAATCTGCAAAACTGAAAATTCCAATGCTCTCCTCAGGTGTAACACTGAAAATATTTAAGAACATCAGACAGGATATATATACAGGGGCCTCTAGTCTTTCATTTCAATTATTCTGCTGATAAAATTTTATATGAGAAGCAATTAGACAAGCTCATCTTCAAGTCAATTTTTGGAGAGTTCCATATAGACCTCTATCGTTAAGCATAATAATTTTTTTTTTTCTGTACAGGTTTGATGGCTTTGGGTGATTTGCACAAAAAAATTCTCAAGACCAGCAAGTCAAGACAAGATGTGACTGAGTAGGTAACTAATGCAGGAAATACGTGCCAGTATTAATGAATGCTGCCAGCTAAGGCAAAGGTTCTCTTCATGTCAACATGATATTATGCCAATTCAAAAACTCATTAACAATTCATAAAGAAAAAACAATGAGTGTCTTTAATGAGTGTCTTCATATCTGATAAAGACACAGCTAAACTTAACAATGTATGTCCAATGGGCCACTTCCGAGTTTTCGAAAACCCTCACTTTCAAAATGAGGCCAAGTGCACAACCTTTCTTGTGAAAATGAGTTTTATTTGCAAGAGAATGAAGAATTATTTCTGTATCAATGGCTGAGCACTTAACCTCATTTTGACACAGAGGCCCGGGGGAACTCGGAAATGGCCTATTTTTTAGACAAAAGTAACCCTAAATCTAAATATAAGTGTAAATCTAAATATTAGTGCAAGAGTGAGTTGATCATTATTAGTACAAGAGTGAATTCCCCAGACAGTAGAGTTGGAAAGAATACCCGTACACAAGAAGTGCAAGTGCAAAGAATTTTGCTTTCAAATGAGGCTTGGAGGTGAAATTTACTCATTTGACGTAATCACATATTAAGGGCCATTTATTGTCTTTGCATAATGTTATAGGGATGACTTGGCTCGAGCAATAAAAAAGCTTCATATCTTGGGCAGTGGTTTCCAGATCATTCCAGTTGGAAAGAAGCGTCTTGTTCAGTCAGTACCAGGAGAACTTAGCATGGATCATGCTGCTGTTCTTCAGCAGGCCCAGGTACTTGCTGTTGTTACTGTTGTTGTTACATCAAAAAGCAATAAGGTTAAGAAGCAAAACGACAACTTTGTATGTGCAGCACCCTTTTGGAAAGTACATTTCTTTGTGGTCACTGCACGGTTAAGAGGGGAAAATGGTAGCCTGCATTTCTCTGAGCATGCAATTTGCTCGCAAAAGCGCCATGTTGAAACTTCCCAAAGAGAGGAGGAGATGGGGCAAGTCAAAGGGAGCGGGGAGGGGACGGGAAGAGAGAAGTATTTTTTTCTCCCCTCCCCCTCCCCCTTTCCTTCTTTCGCCCTTGCACCTACCGTAAGGGTTACTATTTCTACTCTCCCCAATCTTCCACTGTCATAAAATCAAAGATGGCGGCTACAACAATATTACGAACACGAACAAGGTTTTGCCCACCCAAAATGTGCCTAGGAAAATGGCAAACTTCATGATTTATGGAGGACTTAAACAAACTATGATGAAATATTCCTTCTGTTATTTTTTTTAACTTGGGTGTGGCTCTTCGAAATTCAACTCCAAGAAGTTTACTGGCAAAGTAATTGGGTTTGAATAATTGCTATGAAAATTGAAGGAAGAACGTGAATTCACTTTTTAAGCAATGTTTTCTCTGCCGTCGCTGTTCTAGTATCTTGAGGTCCAAATTGTTGGAAAATGTTATGGATTTCTGCTCTGTGTGTTGCATGATTAGAATCTGAATAATCAAGATCTTGACTTTGATTTCTCACAATATCTCAAAAACCTCATTCAATAGATACTATTGGTTCAGGTAACATGTGCAGGGTTGTATTTTAATGAGGTGACAACTATTCAGTCCCTATGCACTTAATACAGTTTCCTTGTTTTTTTTCACAGGGGAATGGGTATACATCAATTTCTGTCATCGCAAAAGATTTAGGATGGGAACGGGATCGTGCGATACGAGCCTTGGTAAGTTGTTATGTATCCTAATAAGAGATCACTGTCAGTGCGTCACTATCAATTGGACTACAGATACGAGATTGAGTACAAGTACAAGTTTTCAAACTTAATTCATTCACCTCATATAATTTCTTTTTTAAAACACCAACCTTATCCCTAGCTTTTATTTACGATATGTACCATACTAGTAACCAACAGGAAAAAATGTATGGCTCATATATGTACTCGTAATAAGCCAAGGTTGTTCTCATAGTCAAATCATAGATTGCTATTAACAATAAAATTGGAATTCCTAAGTGCACTGTGATACACTCAAAGATAAATAACGCAGAGAAACGAAAAAAAACAAGTGGCTACCAAAATTGAGATTTGCGATTCAGTTTGATGCTTTGTTTATTATAGGATCACATGGTTCATGAGGAAATGGCTTGGGTAGATGATCAAGCACCCAATGAAAGATTGTACTGGTTCCCAGGCCTCTTCCCAGAAACCTAGAAGGGCCTGGAACAGATTAGACGTCTTCTCTACGGACAAACAAGGTTGTAAATGGAAATCAAGCCACGGAAGAAGAAAGAATTAATCCAGTGGGTGAGAAATGTCAATTAAATTTTTTAAAGAAAGAAGACTTATCTGAAAGTTTTCACCAATTTTTTGCTTGTCGCATAGCAAGGATGTTAGAAAAGAGAGAAAATTGTCACTATAACCATAAAAGAAACAAGAGTGATCATATTTTGAAAGGGTGAGGAGGCAAGTCTTTTGTAGCAAGAAGGATTGTTGGGTTGTTGAAACAGACCAGGGGCAGCCAAGCTTTTTTAAAATAATTGACGCCCCAGTTCTACCATTTGTTACTTTAAAATGACTACACGATTTCCCGCCAAGAATAACGCGGGTTGCCCAAAAGCATCGCGCGTTTTCCCTCCAAGAAAATATAACATACTCCTACCCCGACGGGCTGACACCTGATTCCTTTCCTCCCCCGAAAGAGTGTACGCTGACGTCACAACCAAAATTTCTCTGATGGATAGTTTACCAAATTTTCTTAGCTATGCACAAAAACTTGAGACTGACTAGAAATGGTACACTCGGTACACGTATACACTGTGGCAATGAGGAACCTGGCGTTAAGATCGTAAAACAATGAAAAGTATTTGATTGCAAGAGGAGTGTTCTAAAACATCAATAACGATTGTGCCATTGTTTTCAAAGTAAATGCCTTTTATTTTCCTTCTAAATATCTCACTCTGTTTATTTCCAAATGGTGCATGCATTGTAATCAAAGCTTGATTAAATATGTAAAACGTTCTTTGTAAAAGTAAAATAAGTAACAGTTTTGTAAGCGAGTAGTTTCTCATTACCCATGAAAGCCACTAAAGTTAGCCCGATAAGAAAGTCTTCCGCTGCTTTCTTTCGTTTGATTGTGGCTTCTCTAGTACAGAGTTTTCATTTCTATTAGTGCTTTGTACTTAGAAATAACCGGGCTTTTTTAACCTCAACATTGAAATAATGAATATATGAAAACCCTGTGAAGGAACTGTGGGGTAAAGAATTAAATGAAAGAACTAACCAACTCAATGACCTTCTTCCAGTTGGCTTGTTAAAATACAAAACAGACTAGTTTGTGATTTTTTCGGAAACACAAACTATATACTATATACTATACTGATCAAGGTTGGATGCTGTAGAAATGTCAGTTTTTAAAAAACCAAAGGGCCCTAAAGTTCAATTTTTCTTCCTTAAAATCGCTCCAAAACTAACAAGAGCCAGGTTGAGCGTTACACCTCTGTAGTATTCAACAATCTCTACAAATTGCTCGGGCAAAAGCTTATAAGTGGTTTTTCAACAAAGTACAGCTTTTCAGGGGTTATTATCAGATAATAATCGGTAAAGGTAAGTTGCCATTTATTATTTGAAACTATAAACAAATATCTGCAATGAAATGCTTAACCGTAAAAACTCGTACTACTGAGTTTGGTTGATTAGTAAAAATCGTGCCGTGTCAGCTGTAAACTTATCTCCTTACTTATAAAACTATACGGTGAGAAGGCACCCTAGAAATGTTATTTATCATTGGTTGTTCCGACCTGTGCATTACAATCCCCCTACCCCTCTCCTCCCCTCCCTTGCATTACAATTCCTCTACCCCCTCTCCCCCTCTCCCTCCCTATAAACGAGACTGCACATTTCAAGTTGTGCTATATGTCAATTGCCATCAAGTCCTCCTCAAAGAGCGCAATTATCAGCATGATGACGAATCCTAGGAGCAAACCCAAGTTCTGTAACAAGAACGTAGGGACAGGTTCTTCTTGAAGAGTCTCGCTGTGCATCAGGTCAGGAAGCTGTTTTAAAAATGACAGAATTACCGGTTAAAACATTGGAATGCAAGGCTTGCTTACTTACTTAGTTAGCAGATGACTACCGCACAGGTTGTCAAAACTTCAGTCGCTGTCAACAACATTACTATTCTGACTACGTTCACCCTAAAGATCATAATCAACCTACTTATGAAATGACTCCTGGGTTCATACCCTTTCACAGATTTGAACTCAAATTACTGACATTTTGTCTTGAGGATAGAACCTTCCTAGTTTTTGTTTTCCACTATTAATTAAGGGCACATAGCGAAAATCCATCAGCACCGCAAGATAAAGCGCTTTTAAGTTAAAGAACGTGCGAACTTTGCGAGTGATATATCATAAACGAGCGAAGCTATTTAAAATAGCTTTTATTTTGGGTGTCAAGGGGGAGCAGGGGCACTTATTTGATACG